ACAAATATCCGCCTCAATATCGATACATTGGTTTATTTCGTTAACTTTAGTATGTCGTGGCGGTAGACAATAATGGTGAAAAATGTTCTGTTAAATCTCGTAATGTCGATTTTTTCTTTTTTGTGAACAATTCGGTTATTAAGTAATATCGAGATCGAGTTTGACAGCGATGAATTTATAACGATTTTCTAAAGATTATATCGTTATTAATTTTTTGGAATTGAATTATAATCGAGATGTTTATCTTAATTGCTTACAAATATTGTATAGAAATTTCTTTGAACAATATATTGATATAATTTGTGACGCGACGCGAAGAAAGGTACCTAAGAAGCCAAACGGCAATTTTACAGGAGAGGGAAAAGAACAAGCGAGAACGCGGCGCAGAATTTCCGATATCTCTTACTCTCTCTCGTTTCCCACTACTAATTCGAGTTAGCGTCTGTGTATTCGGCCGTCTTCGGCAAGTAAAGAGAGATGCACTAAATGTATTCTCTATTCTTTCTACTTTCTCTCTCTAATTCCCGAATGCCGACCCGAACTTCAAGTGGCGCATGGTTACAGTGAGAGGGGAGCGTAGATATGTGTGCGTGAGGAAAAAGAGAATCAACTCTTAGCACGAATTATTCATCTTTAAATCGTTATTACAAGAAAAGTATTAGATAAAAATTAATTTTGACTTCAGATAATTGAAAAGCAATCTTTAGTTTATCGAAAACAATCATAATCCGAAAATCGATTTTTGCCTTCTTAGGTACCTTTCTTTGCGTCGCGTCACATTTAATTTTTTTTGTGTGTGGAAATACTCTCAACACGAACCCTCACCTCTTGTTTAAATAACAACCGCGAGCTAGATCGTTTAACCAGGATTCCGGTAGAATTATGTGATCGAGAATAAATAAAGTAATTTAAATTTTAAATTTTGGAAATATGTTTCATGATTATGGATAAACCTTTTTTTGGTAACTTTGATTTTCTTTTTTTTTGTGTTTAAAGTATGATTCTCTGGAAACAATTTGAGTTTACGTTTTGTTTGATGCAGACATCGACTCATCTCTGAATCTGGCGCTCAACACCTGGTAGATATTATCGATTTAGCGACTATTGAGATCTAGAAGTAAAGTTCCATTTTTTTTATTGCTCGTTTTCTTTTGCGATTCTTGATCACATTACCGAAGGTGATAGTCATACTTTCCATAATGGCAGGGAAGAAGACAAAATAAATTTTGCCGTCAGCTGAGAGAAGTATTATATTTAATTTTTTTATCTTTGGGAATCTGTTTCTAAAATATAATACCGACCCGACATTGACCCAAAAATTTATTTGCCAATCTCACAAACATTTTCAATATTACACAAATACTTTATTCTGTTATAAATATTAAAATTGATTCTTTAAAAAATTATATTTAATATTTTTTACTTTCTTTTTAAAGACATTTCGATGATTTCTATAAAATATTTCAAATTATTGTTGAAAATGCTGTCTTCAAAGAAATTATACATTATCAAAAACTACCTAAACCAGAAGCAGATATTAGGATATTCAAAGTGAGTAATTTTTTTAAATTTTTTGTAAATTAATAATATAATATAATAATCATAAAATTTTTATTTTTTACAGGAACCGCAGGCAAACAATATACAGTTTAATATATTTTATCGGATATTTAACTTTTTTGAGCTACAACTGGATACATTTTGATAAAAATGATGAGAATCCTGAAATTGGTAGATTGCAGTTCAGCGCAAGATTTTGTCTCAATAAAACTAAACAATTAGGTCATTATATAATCAAAATTGTGACTCTTTTGTCTAAATGACCATAATTATTACTAACAATAAGAGGAAAGAATTTTTAGTCTTGTTTTCATTTGTGGAGTAATAGCTGTATCATTTCAGGATTTTGAATAAGGTAAACAGTTATGCAAAGCACTAAGAATAATTAAAAAAAATTTCTATTCAATTTTTTAAACCTAAAAAGTACCAATTTTTCCCTCATTGTATCGAGTCATTTCTTTATTATTTTTATTTATACAATAATAAAAAAAAGTAAAAAGATGAATTTTAATTTAAATAAAGATATATATTATAAGATCGTTGTTCACCACTAATAAGATGCTTCAGGAAACAACTGAATATGACAATACAATGAAAGTTCAAAATTTTTAAAAATTAAAGCAAGTTTATATCCGTTTTAATCGTTTTTGGAACATTTTTTAATTTTTAATTCTCAATTTTTACAAAAAAAATTTATTTTATAATTTTTAGCTAGCCAAATCATATTTTTTGAATCTTTTAATTCATAAAAGCTCTGAATTTTATTCTGAAGAATCGAAAAATATTAATATAAGGGTTTTAACAAATGCAAGTTTCTACTTCCAATTTTTCTATCTATATAAAGTTCGACAATTACAATATATTATTTTAAATTTTATTTTTAAACATACAAATTAATTTTTTGATTTTATTAGTTTCGGGTATTGACATAACACTTAATATATGAATAAAATTTTAATTTCATTTTTTTTATTTATTAAAAATTTACAGTTTTAATGTATTTTAATATTTATAAAATACAAAAATTATTTATAAAGATTTTAAATTTAATAATCAATTTCAAAAAATAGCTGTAGTAAATTTAAAACACAAAAATTTAAATGAAATTTTTTATTTTTTATATAGAAAAAATTTTTAATTTTGAAATTTTAAAATATAAAAATTTTGAATGACCTATTTTTTCTGATTGTTTTAATATAGAATAAAAAAATATATAATTTTAAAATTACTATTTTTTGTTTAAGCTTGCAAGGATTATAAAAATTATTGTATTTGCTAAAGTGCACCATTAATAATCAAAGACGTTTTTCTAAATTGCTGGTTCTATCACGAAGTTTATTTTAAACTAGAAGTAAGAATTGATAAAGATGATGGAGATTATTCATTTTTGAAGAAAGGCGAAATTTTATTGAATTAATGGCAAAAATAATTTTTGAGGTAATTATTTAATTATTTTTTGAAACTTTTAATTATTTGATTGGACATTTTTTAAAAAGTTTTTTAAACTTTTCGATAATTTTAATTCTAAAATTTTTTTAAAATTTGAGTAATAAAAATTTTTCAGAATAATAGTTTAAAAAATTAAAAAAAAGTTTATTATTGTAAAAAATAAAATTACAGAAACCTTGTCTAAATTCAATCGTAAAATGTTCTAATTGTACATATGTTATATTGTATTAAATGTAAAATTACTTAAACGTTTTGTTAATCAATTTTTATTGTATTAGTTTATTCTTCTTTCAATAGGTGATCTTACAATTGAGGAAGAAAGGATAGAAGATACCGAATTGTCATCAAATAAGTGTTTCTAAAATATATTTTTCGGGAAACAACTGTTCTACTAGATTGCACACATTTTTATTCAACCAAATTTTAAATGATTCGAATTTTGAAATCTAACAATTTTTAAATCAGAAGTTTCATTAATATGATTTTCTATTCATTGAAATTTTTATTTAATATGTTTCTAAAATCAGTGATTATTTATTTAATCGAAATTATAAATAGCGACATATATAACCAACAAAAAGTTTTTGATTTGATTTTTAAAATTATTTAATCAAATTTTTTTAAAAAATTGTGATTAATCAATTTTTAAATTTACGTCGAAAACAAATATATTTATATATATTATATATAAAATAATATTAAATACAATTTTATATGTTATAATTTTCTCACTATCTGAAACAAAATTATATTTATTTTTTATACTATTTAATAATTTTTTTTTAATAATTTACATTGAAAATAGTAAAAAAATTTTTTACCAAAATTAAATAAGTCCGCCATTTTGAAGTATTTTCTAATGACTAAATTGTTATTTAACTGAAATTTGAATTAAAAACATTTAAATTCACTTTCAACAACATTTTTCTAGCTAAAATTTTATTTTAATAATTTTTAAGTTAATATTAACTCGTATCTTTGTTCTCCATAGTGGATAAAAATGCATTCAAAATAAGAACATCTGCACTGAATGGATTAATTTGATTTTTCATTTAACAAAAGTTTCTTTTTAAAGAATTTTATTTAAGCGAATTCTTATTTGATTAAATATTTATTTCTAAAAATTTTCATCAATTTTTTAATTATAAAAAGTTGTATTTAAGCAGGCCTTGAACAGCACAAAAATAATCAACTATAATATTTTCGTAAATTTCAGTATATTTTTCAAAACAATTCAATTTCAAAAATCAATAACCGGTTTTAACTTCAAGAAGTTCAAAAATTAATTTTTTTTCGTTTAAAAGCACATTTTTGAAAGTAAAAATTTAAAAATATTAAAATCTTTGAAAAAGTTTGAATCGTACGAAAAATGTTTTCGAAAAATAATAATTTTTGAATATTTTTGGATTAAAAACTTCTTTTTATTATTAAAAAATTAAATTATTTTGAAAATAAATATATTTTTTAAAAATATTACAAACTTTTTTCGTGCTGGACGACCAGAATCTATCACAAAAATAAATTGTTCTTGAAAAATTTGGAAAATACTTTATTAAAAAATGGTGTTTTGGATTTTTTAATTTTTCTGGGTTAAATTCTATTTTAAGTTTATAAATTGCAATTTTTTGAATATTATCAAAATTTTTTAAAAACATTGTTATAGTGTTTTGTTTTGGGTTTGCACTAAAAATTTTATTTCAAAACTCAAATCCTAATTGTCATTAAAAAAAAATTTTGCTTCAATTTTATTTTTTGAATTCAAATCCTAATTATCATTTTTTAAAAAAGAAATGTTGTATACTAGAAAAATTGTAAATTTCAAGACAGTCACTCCGTTGGATGATTTGTTTATATTAATTAATATTAATAATAATAACAATAATTGGAAAAAGCGATGTTCATAGTAAAAACATCAGAAAATCACTGGTTGTCAAGGCGATGTTGATTTTCTTTTTTTACAACATAACATAGCCTATTTTTATTTCATCTGGCTTTAACGGTGAGTTTTTCTTTAAAAATAGAATTCGAAGATAAAAATAATATAAAGTTGTCAAGCAATGAAACACTGAATGAAATAATCGAGAACGACTCTGTGGTGTAAGTCAAATTTATGTAAAGCTTATTATTAGTTGTTATAAAATTTTAATTGCTTTTTAATTTTCTAATTAACATTTTGTATTTATTTATTCTATTCTATATATATGTAATAATAATATAAAGCAAAAAATACTGACATAGAGGTCAAAACAAATTTCATTTATAAATAATATAACTTTTTATTCAACTAAATTATAATTTAACTGAACTGTTATTTCACAGAAGTTTTTCTTTTTAAAGATTTTTTATTTAACTAAATTTTTTTTAATCTTATTACTAATTAATTCAATTTTCTTATAAACAACAGCTTATTTAATCCCAAGAAGCACGTAATATAACCTCAATATCAAGGTAATATTACATGTAAGATTCGTAATATAACGTTGTAATATTACAGTAATCTTACAGTGATCTTAAAATGTCCGCCTTAAGGTAATATTACCGGTAATGTTACTGTAATATTACGCGCTAATATTAAGGTAATATTACAGTAATATTGCAGTAATATTATACCGTAACATTAAGGTAATATTACAAGAGAATATTACAGTAATATTATGGGAACATTTCTTTACGAAAAAAATCTACCCATCCAGGGAATCGAACCCCGAACTCAAAACACACGAGTCCAGAGTTTTACCAACAAGCCAAATTGACTTATAATATATTTCGACGCCTCCCGTTGATAAGATGCCCGTTCATTTGTCAGAATAATAAAATGCCAACTCGAGCTCAGTTCAATATGAAGCTAGTTCAATTGTCAAAATAATAAAAGGCTATCTCAGTTTCAGAATAATATAATCCTATCTCGCATTAAATTCGAATTCAAGTTTTCGTAAATTAAAAAAAAAGTTTAAGTCGATCAGAATATTAATTCATACTTTTTAATGATTAATTACTGATTAATAATTATTAATAAAATAAGAAATAGAATAAAAAACAAATAATAAAATAAATGAAAATAAAAAATATTATTAAAAAAGAAAAAAATTAATTTAGCCTTGAATTATTTATTACTAATATTATTTTTTTTATTATAATTTTTTTATTAATTTTTTTATTTTGTTAATCATTAATTAATCATTACAAACTATTAAATAATATTCCGATCGAGTTAAAAATATTCAAGTTTTCGTAAAATAAAAATTTTTTAACTCGTTCGGAATATTATTTAATATTTTGTAATGATTAATTAATGATTAACAAAATAAAAAAATTAATAAAAAAATTATAATAAAAAAAATAATATTAGTAATAAATAATTCAAGGCTAAATTAATTTTTTTCTTTTTTAATAATATTTTTTATTTTCATTTATTTTATTATTTGTTTTTTATTCTATTTCTTATTTTATTAATAATTATTAATCACTAATTAATCATTAAAAAGTATGAATTAATATTCTGATCGACTTAAACTTTTTTTTTAATTTACGAAAACTTGAATTCGAATTTAATGCGAGATAGGATTATATTATTCTGAAACTAAGATAGCCTTTTATTATTTTGACAATTGAACTAGCTTCATATTGAACTGAGCTCGAGTTGGCATTTTATTATTCTGACAAATGAACGGGCATCTTATCAACGGGAGGCGTCGATTTACGTTTTTTATGCTTTATGAATAACTCAAATCAGTCTGTAATATTACTGTAATATTACCGTTAATATTACAGTAATATTCCCGGTAATATTACCTTGAGGCGGACATTTTAAGATCACTGTAAGATTACTGTAATATTACAGCGTTATATTACGAATCTCACGTGTAATATTACCTTGATATTGAGGATATATTACGGGCTTCTTGGGATTAAATTTATATTTGAGCGAATCATTTTATAAAACAATATTTTTAAACATTTTTTTATTAAAACAACAAATTTGTATATTACTTTAAAAATTTTAATTATAAATTAAGAAAATATTTATTTATGATAAGTTATATTATTATGTAATATTTCGAATTATAAAAATTAATTTTATGAAATTATAAACATGTGATTGTGATTTTAATATTTTTCAGTGAAATGATTGTGTACGTTGATGAAGTCGAAGATGTGAAAAATGTCGGTGAGAACGGTAAAGCAGTTTATAAATTCTTTCTCAATAATGGGAGTGGTACCCGAGTCCAAATAAAAGTTTGGGAAGACGAAATTGACAGAGTTTTACCTCTTATTAATTGCAACGAAGTAAATGCAAATTATGATTATTATTATATCGTTTATATATTATATTCATTATATTTCTTTATTATTATTATAACTATATTATTGTCATTTTATTTACATAATAATATACATATATTTTAAATTTATAATAGATTATCCATTTGGATGGTGTTGCAGCAAAATCTGTTTTAAAAATATTTAACAAGGGATCAGTACCTTATGAATTACTCATTCAATCAAATTCATTAATTAATTGTTTGGGAAAAATAAAAATAAAGCAGCAGAAAGTTAATGAAGCTCCATTAATTACACTCTAAAATATTTATGCTACTACAGATTTTATTAGTAAGTAAATATTGATATTTAAATTTTTATTTTAAAAAAATTTTAAATAATTTTTTGAAATTATTGCTAAAAATGTGGTTTTTTAAATCATTAAAAATTTTTAATCAATATTCTTTCTCTTTTATTTTTAAATTATTTGTCGCTTTTCAAACTAAATTAGAGGAATCTTTCCAATAATTATTTAGTTTTTGATGCTAAGAAAATAATAATAAATAAAAGAATTAATTATTTTTATTTGAGTAATGTAAATGAACAATCTATCTGACAATATAGTTTTTCTTTGTTTATATAAACGATTGTGAGTCTTTCCTCATTAATTTTCTCAATTCTGAATAGAATAAAACTTACTTTAAACTTAATAATTATAAATAAATAAACAAATATAAACACACCTTAATTTTGTGATAATCTCACAATTAAAAATCGATTTGTAATTTGTTTGTGTAGTTTTTGAAATCTACAAAAAAAATATAAAATAAATTATTTTAACAGTATTATAATATTTTACCTAACAAAACTTTAAGGGTTAGTTTCTCCTAACTCTATTTCTAAATTTCCAATTCTTGGTATAAAAAAATTAAACATCATAGTTCAACAATATATTGTCAAACTATAATGTTTACATTAAACTTCAATAGATTTATCTCTGAAAAACCCTACTAGATAATTAATTTGAATAAATTAATTATATCCTATTCTAGCTATTTCTTTGGGTTGTCAGGGTCATCTCTATAGTTTAATCTTTCAAATTGTCATGTGGATCGCCTATTGCAATGCACATGGCATATAAGAATATTAAACAAGAATTACGATTTGTCCTTTTAACCACTCTTGGACAATCAATGGTGTTGGTAGAGATCGTTAGAAAGCCCCTGACCATTGATTTTCCGTGGCTTGACTTTGAAGATTTGTTTGTTGGTAATTTTTTTTTGTTGTTTTGATAAATAATAATTTATTTTATTGTAGATTTGGATAGTCAGTCGTGTTGGTAGAAATCTTTCGAAAGCTCCTGACAACAGACTTTCCTCTTCGACAATTTTAATTGCTAACTTGAGAAGAACCAATCGTATTGGTAGAAATCGTTAAAGAGCCCCTAACAATTGGTTTCTCAAAATTAACAATTTTAAATAAATTTTATTTTTAATTACGATTTAGTCCTTGTTATCTTTCTCGCCCAGAGATGCAGATCGTTTAGGTAGAGATCGTTAGAAAGCCCCTAACAATCTGCACTTCTCAAGTTTGAAAGACTTGACTTTGTAGATTATAAGGTTCTAAAATTTCTTTATAATAAAATATAGAAGAAAGCTTTTACCAGTTTAAAACTGTTCAGACAAAAGAGACAGAAGCACGCATTTACTTGGCTTATATAGTTGCGTCCCTACCCTTAATTTTCTGGGGTAAGTAAAATTTAAAATGTGCGCGTGTAAGGAATTTTAAATTGATTGAGCGAAAATCCGCGAGTTCCCCTTACCACTTTACGCTGGGCGATCTCCCATGTATTTCTTACCGCCAATTTCTCCCTCTATTTGGATTTTTCGCGGCGTCTATTTTCGAATAGCCAATTACATTTAAATTATTTTCTAAGGACGGAGATATTTTTCTCTCTCTAATTCCGTTTCTAACGTTTGCCAAGGACAATGCCATTGTCTACCTGTCAATCATTTTTCTCTAACTGATTTTCTTTTTCTAAAATCTTTAATTTCTCAAAAAATAATAATTTTAAAATTATTTAACTTTTACCATTAATTTTTAAATAATTTTTATTTTAATATAACATATAATTTTATTTAATTATTATGGCGCGGTATCAGTTCTACCAAATTTAGTTCTATACGGGGCAACTCGATACGTTAAACTTAGTTGCCCCGTATAGAACTAAATTTGGTAGAACTGATACCGCGCCAATTATTATTAATTTCAGCAATTTTTTAAAATAATTTTTATTATTTTACTTTCTAAATAATAAAAAAAATATAAAATAAATTTATTCTTTAAATAATAATCTATAAAAATTCTTATTTGTAAAGAAAAAACTTTAAATTTAAATTAAATTAATAATTCTCTTAATTCGTATTTATATCTACCTTCTCTTTCTATTATTTTTCCTGTTTATGTTTTCATTGTGTTATCTATTGATATCTTCTCTTTCTTTCTATTATTTTCAGAAATTCAATTTATCTAGTTTTACTTTCATTACTTTATATAATTTAATTTTTAATATTTATTCATTTATAATTTAAATAATTTATAATTATTTTGTAATAAAATTTTTGACTATTGAAATACCATTTCAAACGTATCATCATCAACAGATATTAAAAAAATTGATGGTGAAAAAAAGTCATTAAAAGTTTTATTAAAAGCTTGTACAAAAGTGAAGAGATTAAGTGAAGAAACAAATTCTCAATCTTCAAAAAGATTTTTTTTTGAAAACATTGAAATTGATAATTTAAAAAAAATTGGAAATTGTTTAATTTATAAAATAGAATAGAATAACAGAATTTAATAGAATAATTAATTAATAAATATTATTTAATTATTAATTAACAATTAATTATTATTAATTATTTTTATTCATTTAATAGACTTTTTAGTAAACCAAATTATCATTACTTTGAAAGAGTGTTATTTTTAACAAATTTACATTTTACTAAATTTTAATTTAATAGATTTTACGGAATTTAAAAATTTTTATTTAATTAAATTTGAATTTAACACAATATTCATTTTTGGAATCGTTATTTGAAAAAATTTTATTTTGGACAAATGTTTATTTAACAAAATTTATATTTTTGATGTTTTCTCAGCAATAGAAATAAAAATTAGTTTTTGATAAAATTTGAATTCAAATAATTTTAGTTTTCATTAACTATTTATCATAAAATAGATTAAAAATATAAATTAAAATCTTAATGAATATAAGGTTGAAAAATCTGTTTTATTATTATATTTTAAAAAATAAGATTACCTTTAATGAAAATTAGCATTAATGTTAGATTGATAATTGTTATTTAAATGAAATTTACTTTGAATAAAGAATTTCACTGAACTGAAGTTTTACTACGGGGTTCACTGACATGAATACACAAAAAATTATAAAATTGACGATCGTCATTTTTTAAGCTATTGAGCAGCCATTGACTATAATTTGCATTAACGCGTTATTAAAAAATTCATATTAAAATGGAAGAATTAAGATCATTATTTATAGAAAAAGGTGAAATAGGAAAAGAAGAATGTGAACAAGATAAATTTATGGAAGAAAGTGAAAACAATGAAAAAATGGATGAAGTTGAAGAACTAGAAGTATCAGATACTGATATTTTTCAAAGCATTACAGTCGGCGAAAGCAGCATGAATGTATTTCAATTTGTTCAAATTTTAATTTAAAATTAATTTAATTTATTGTAAAATATAAATTAAAAAATCTTAAATTTTATTTACGTTTTTTAGTGTCATCCTATTAATTGAGGGCCTCCATGCAATAAGGGGACGAGCGCGCCAGTAAAAGTCCCCACGGACGGCGCGCGGCCGGCTGCGCAAGGAGACAACGAAAATCACGTTCGTCCCCTTATTGCATGGAGGCCCTCAATTATAGTTAAAAAAATATTTTTAAACAATTTTCTTTGAAAATTTATATAAATGCAATATGTGAATATTTTTTTTATTTTACAGTGAAATTATTGGTTATGTTGGCAATATTGAAGCTTCAAAAGCTGTGATGACAAAATATAAAAAGGAATGCAATTTATTTGCTTTTGAAATTAATAATCTTACAGGAATTAAATGTCGCGTTATTTTATGGGGAGATGAAATTCCAAAAATTGAACCATTAATAAGAACTAGAAATGTAAGTCAAATTCGAGAATTTCAAGTTTTATTTTAAAAATATTAATTAATTAATTATTTTATTTATTTTATTTATTTTATTTATTTTATTTATTTTATTTATTTTATTTATTTTATTTATTTTATTTATTTTATTTAATTTATTTATTTTATTTATTTTATTTATTTTATTTAATTTATTTATTTTATTTATTTTATTTATTTTATTTATTTTATTTATTTTATTTATTTTATTTATTTTATTTATTTTATTTATTTTATTTATTTTATTTATTTTATTTATTTTATTTATTTTATTTATTTTATTTATTTTATTTATTTTATTTATTTTATTTATTTTATTTATTTTATTTATTTTATTTATTTTATTTATTTTATTTATTTTATTTTATTTTTTTTATTTATTTTATTATCTACTTATTTATTTTCTGAAACTTTAGACAAATAAAGAAATGAAATAATTTTCAACTAAATTTACGATGATGCTCCAAAACGTAGTAAATTTTTCGTGGACTTATACTAATAAAACTCTTATATTTTATATTATTTTTAGGTTCTTCACATCGATGGGGTAATAGCCGTGGCAGCCTATAAAAATACTACGCCACTTTCGTACGAATTACAAATTGTTAGCTGCACAAAAGTTAAAGTTTTACAAACGGATTTAAAATTTAAAACTATTGAAAAATGTATTAAAATAATAGACATCAAAGATATTGGAAAATATATAAACACAATGATAAGTAGGTTATCTTTATATAAAATAAAAAAATTAATTCTATAAAATATATATATATTTCTTAAATTTGTTTCATGTATATTACCATTCAAAAATTTGAAGCAACCTATTTTTTGATAAATGAAAAAAATTTAAACTAAAAAAATTACCTATAGAAAATATTTTTTTTCATTTCTTAAGTTGATTAAATTATGAGCAAAATAAGACTCGGAACAAGTCATTTACTCAATATTTTATTTAATTATATTTAAAAAAGTGTCATTTTTAATGTTTTGATACTAGTCACAAGGGGTAAATGGCTCAAAGGAGGGAAAAAACGTAAACAAATTACCAAAATTACGTTTGTGCAGGCGCGAAAGAGTTTGTGTTGTATTAGAGTAAGAGAGAGTGACGTCACATGAAGTGCTCTCTCTGTCGCATGGAGTGAAACGAGAGCGTGTGAGATGACGTCACCTGGTGGTTCCGGCATCCGTACCATAACCGACTCGCTGATGCTGATTCTACACTCACCTAAAACTGTGCAAGCGGTCCGCACTTGCGTTACGTTTTTTAAATATAAAGATATAGTTAACTATAGGAAGCGTCACGGAAAAGCGGACCGCTCGCTCAGTTTTCGGTGAGTGTAGAATCAGCATGAGAGTGACTCCCGGTATCGGTGTAGGTGGGCCGTAAACGCTTTGCGGCTCTTCACGTAACGTAAACGCTCGATAAGAGTGACTCCCCGTACGTTTACGTTAGTGAGGCGGCACCTGGTGGTCACGTCACGTGATGACGACGATGAGATGCGTAGTTTTCCGTATTTACGGATTGTCTGACGAATATTGCTGGAGGGTTACCCGTAGCCTAACGACTCGCTAAGAGTGACTCCCCGTATCCTTAGGCGGGTTTATGTGTTCTCTGGGCCCGTACCGTAATCCGACTCGTAAAGAGTGACTCCCCGTATCGGATAGGTGGGCCGGAGACCCTGCACGTAACGTAAACGCCCGTAGAGAGTGACTCCCCGTACGATTTACGTTAGTGAGAGTGCAGGGTTTACCCGTAGCCTAACGACTCGCTAAGAGTGACTCCCCGTACGATTTACGTTAGTGAGAGTGTAAAAGAAGGTTGGGGCCTGAACATAGAAATTGATTAGTACGCCTACGGTAGTAGGGTGAAAGAAAAGTAGAAAAGTTCAGTTGAAAGAACGTTTATTTTGAAAGTACGCAAGAGACTTATATACACTTAGCAAGTAATCTCGACTGCGAGTGAAATAATAACTACATATTTACTACAGAACAACGCTCGTAGCGTGAAAAAGAAAGAACTAAATTGAAAACTTATAAGTAATACACACACACACTTATATATATATATATATATATTGTAACACGGCATTTTATTGCCTGCGTTCCATATAAAGAAAACTAATTAATTTATCGTCAATTGAACGCCAGAGCGGGAATCATACTGTACTTCACTTCAATTTTGTCACTTTTATTTTACATTTATTTCAATAAATTCCCCAATTTCATTATGGGCGAATCGTCAGATGATTGTTCACCGATCATATAAAAATTAAGAATAACACTAACACTTTTCTGTCTCTTACTTTACATGAAAATAACACTCGGGGTTAAGTTCCCCAATTCCAATTGTCGGGTTGATCATCGACTTAAATATCCTTGAGGGAGGACATCAAGGGAGGTGTTTTCTGGCATGTATAATTGGATGTGAGTCCCAATTATTCTTCATTGCCAGGAAAACGAAGATTCACTTTCAATAACAGAGACCTGTCAAAACACTGGTCGTCGCCATCTTCCAGACACATGTTGTTGTGCAGCGCCCCTATCGGTGATTTATCGAACTTTCTTTCGACCGTCGATAATTAATGAAATTACCATCTGACGCGCATCGATTACCAATTGTGGATCTTTTGTAACTCGGGCGAGACTCACCATGTAGACGAAGCGCGACGAACGGACGCGTTGACGCGGACGAACAGACATTTTTGATCATTCTCGCTTTGGTGGTCGCGTCAGTGACAGTTCTATAAATAGTTTTGTTAAAAGTTAAAAATTAAATTATTAAAATATAAACAATGAGACGGGGACTAATGAGAGGAAGACGTTGCATCTCTGGTGAGTCTCTCGTATATTAAAGGTGAATTCCGGCTGAATTGATCGCCTAATAAATTAATAATTAAAAACATTGTTCTACGAAAACTTGTGGTTTTCAAAATATTAACTAAATTTCTGTGTTTCACAGGTCCCTTTTGGACCTGTTTCTTATTATAATTAAAGTGTGGTTTAAAAATTATATTGGTGATTTTCCTTACCCACCCGCTCTCCTTGATAACAGCTGGGCTAGCATATTAAATTTATTAAATAAATGGTTTGGTTATTTTCCACAAAATAACCTGGCGTCTCGGGCATTAAATTAAAATAAACCAAATATAACGGGTATTTTACTCAAATCCACATTATAAATTAATTAATTAACATTAACAATTGCAGTAAATTCAATTAAATAAATAAATTAATTAAAATACACGTTATAAATGGCGCACAACAGGTTGGGCAAGAAATTCACCATGATTTTCGTGGAACAAAGTTTGAAAATAAAAATATAATAAAGTGAAAATTGGAAAAATTTAAATTAAAAATAATAAATTAAAATTTTCAAATATTTGAACCAAGAATTGACAATTCAGTGAAAATAAATTGTGAAAAATATTCTTTGATTTGAGCGTGAGTTCGGAAAATAAGAACTCGATCCATAAGGACGAATCAAGTAAACATAAATTGATAAAGTAACAAGGTCAAGTACCTGGCCCTGTGTTATGATTGTGAATTCTTGGTAAAATACTGAATAAGCACAAAATTGAGAATCAATAGTGAAAATTAAATGACTTTTGAAAAAAAAAATTAATTAAATTCATGATTATAAATAAATCTTTAAAAATAATAAATTTTCGAAATTATTAATCGAAAAAAATAAAATAAATAAATTTTGATAAAATAAAATATTAACAATAATAGTATAATAATATGACATGAATTTAATTATTATTATGTTTTCTATTGTAATGAAATAATTATTCAACTGACTTATTTTTTTTATAATATTTTTTTTTCAATTCCTTGAAATATTTTCCCGGAATAGTTCAAAAGCTTCGCAGTGTCGGGCGAGTTTATTATCAATAAATTTTTTTTTTTTGGTTATTTTCATTGTAAAGTAAAAATAATTAAATTATCGACTGTATTATTGTGTTTATTCAAAAATACAAAATCACTTAAGAGTAAAATTTTGTGAAAATTCAGCAATGAAAATTGACTAAAATTTTGTTGATTTGGGACATTTAAATTTTAAAAGTGTGGTCCAAACTTTCTGACAGAGCGTCGCGAACGATCATCCTTTTTTGAATCCTTACCGAACAATAAAGAATAATTCCATAAACTATTTGTTAAAATTTTCTAAAAATGGCTTCACCAATTAACCATGGGTCAAATTTATTTGACAATTGGTCTCGCGACCTATTAATAATCTATTTAGATTCTTTTAAAATTAATTCACATGGAACCCTTGAGATACTCCGAGATCGCGCATCGCGTTTCATGCGCCTTTCTAGTGGAGATAATTTAGTCGAGTGGTTACCCTCCGATGAAATTGAACTTCAATTAATCCCCCCGGGAAATAGTTCAGAGGTAAATACGAATTCAAATTCAGTTGAAAACAGAAGCGAGGTCCCGATTTTTGAGAATAATGCAGTAGGTTTTTTAGCTGCATTGCCGTGTTCGCAAAATACACTTTTTCCGACAGTATCAACGACTAGTTCAATTCACTCTTACGTAACAGTTGGATCGTCAGTAGCGAACTCGGTCACTTTTTCGCGAGTTTCGGAAACACCGGGCCCATTAGGGATAACACATCATGTGACACCCCCATTAGAGTTATTTCAATTCTATAAACCGGGGACAATGACGTCAGCAATCGAAAAACCAAAATTCGATTTTTCATTGCCAAAATATTCTGATAGTGTAATCGCGAAAATAGATAACGCTACAAAGAATATTTCTGAAAGTCAATCAGGCGCGAACCTGTTAACTCCTAGTCGACCGGATATAATCAAACCCCCAACCAGTAAATTTTTAGAAGGCAATTCGGCCTTTTCAAAACCAGGGATATTAGACCCATCGACTGGGACTATAAAAAAGAGGTTGACCAGTGACTGGCCCAATCCTGGCAAATTATCTCGCCAGTACTTAGACGACCCTAAACCTGACCCTATCAAGGCGCTAGACAGGCCCAGTCCAGGGCCAAGCCTGGCCCAATTTTCTAACAGGGCTCTATCTAGTTCGAGTCTAATTGAACTAGATTCAGAAAGTCTAATTGATCAATCGATGAACCAGGGCTCATCCAACCTAGATGTTGACTCGCCCATGGATCAACTTAGACTAAGATATAAAGATCCCGGAAAATCTAACCTTTTTAGACCGATCAGTTGTCAATGCGCAACAAACGCGGAGTTTAACGCTGAACAGGCGCATTTGAAAGAAAATCGGCTCTTAACCAATCGAGATGAACTAAATGAAATCCGTTATCAGTTGTCTCCGAACCTCGATGGCGAGCAGGTCGCATCTCTATAATAAACACCATGAAAATAAAAATAATTTAACTAGAAATATTATTTGTTTAAATAATTAATCTAATCCTTGTCAGTGTAAATAAATTAAGAATTCGTAAACATAATATTTGTTGTAAATTTAAATCTTGACCTAAATTCAACATCATTATCGCCCAATTCAAGTAATTCTCTAATGGAACATGAAAATAACATTTTTAATAATGACTCAAGTAAGAGATTGGTCGAGCCACCAGTAAATCACTCTGAATCGAGCTTAACTGATTCAGAAATAACTTGTAAACTTTTGACTGAAACGGTGGGTGTTCAGGAAAAAGATACAAATAACTTGACCCAAGATTCGGCACACGTAATGTGTTGCGAATCTGGTATTAACC